TTGACCCCCAACACTAATTGATTAATAATCATCATCTATCCGATTTTTAGTCTAAAAACTATCAAAATAACCACCTGTTCTATAGCAACGTAGTAGCAACACGATAGCAACAAAGGTCAAGAAACCTCGGCAACAGCGCTTCCTGAAAAGGATCAACAAGTATCCCATACCACACTTATTCGGGGAAAATAAATAAGTAACCAGAAAAATGTAAATAATATCGGAATTAAGAGTGAAGCATAGATTTAAAGGGTGTGAAAATGATTTGTGGTGTTGCAGAATTTTTAATAATGGAAAATACGAAACTCGTAAGTGTTGCCACTTGATATTTATTTGGAAGTAAACTCGGAAGTAAGCAAACATTTTCATTAACAGCTAGGGCTTAAGTAAGCTAAATAAAATAGATTTCGATCCTATTAGTAGGGCTTTATTATCCTAAAACTACCCTGTCATCTGAATACAAAGAATTAACTCAGTATTAAGTATTGTATTACCCTGGAAAATATACCTTTGTTCCCCACATATTGTTTCGCAATCAAACAAAAAGGCAGAAAACTAGTAAAATTCAATGAGAAACCTATCTATCAATCACCGAAAAATATTGAATCTCAGGTATAGAGTTTCATAAATACCCTCAAATACCTAAATTAATTACCGAATTCATTCGAAATTCCAGTTACGTACTAAGGCAAAATTTGTATGTAACAATGTGGCTACAAGATGAAGTACAAATTCTTAAATCAAAAATCCAAACTCAGATATTATAAGGCGAAGAAATCAATGCCATTCAACGTGTAAATTTTCCAACCAGAATGAGAAGAAATTATCAGTCTCTACTTGATCTGCTATGTCAATGATAAGATGCTTGCTTTTGATGAATCATAGCATCCACCAATTCGACTGCGTTACCATGTAGTCAGTCATAACAGCCAAATCGGAAAATCCAGGTTACTCCAAAACCAACAAATAAAATTGAAGGAGCAGGAGAAATGGAAAAGCAACTGCGAAAATAACAATTTAAACTACAGGAACTAAAATCTGAGATGACTGGATTTTTTCTTGAAAATGGAATCATCCTACCTTTCTCAAGACGGGTTCCTTCCTAGAAGGTCCACTTTCACGAACCTGCTTACCAAGATTCATGACTGGACAAGGGCAGATGACAGATCACTCCGGCCACTCTGTTGATGTATTTTATCTAGATTTTGAAAAGGTATCATTCGAGCGGCTTCTTCATAAACTCCATCATTATAATGTTAAAGGACTTCCACTCAACCTAATCCAAGAATTTCTGCAGCATCGACAGTTCTCTGCCAGGTAAGGGCCCATGAAGGCAAATTCCTGTAGATTTTTTCGTGGTGTCCCCCAAGACTCAGTCCTTGGGCCATTCTACTCTTCCTTTGCGTATATTAGTGACCTGCCAAATGCATTTAGCAGTCAGATGTCGTCCTTTGCGGATGATACCTGTTGTTATAGTAATCCTGTAACGTAGAATGGAAGCTTCCAGGGAGATATATGTATGCCATCAAACAGTGAATATCCACCTAGCAAATGCCACTGAATGACTCCAAGTGTTCAATTCTCTACCTGAGCAAACATAACCCCAAGATCATTATTCTTGAAACAGGGAAGCAGCGTTCCCAGGAAAACGAGTGTTCCGACTTTTTCAATGATAGGTATGCAAATGATAATATGTGTAACAAAGACGTCGTTTTCCTGGGAACGCTACTCCCCTGTTCCAAGAATAAGGACCCAGGATGAATACTTTTTCATTGGGTCTAGCCAGGTAATCTGTGTTGCTGAACAAAATGATTTTGGAATTGTCATTGGAAACATGAAATGGGAAAACCATATCAATGTCATTCATGGAGAAATCAAACTCCATCATGTACCTGGTTTCCAAGGCTCTTAAAGATCCCACACCCCAAATTTTTGTAAAGCTGTACAAGGCTTACATCTTACATAAGAATCAAGCTTGAGTATGTCCAAAGCATATGGGGTCAAGGACATTGAAGCACTTGAAAAAGTCCAGCGCAGAGCAACAAAAATTCCCCCAGCTCTTCGTGATCTTCCATACCAACAAAGGCAGCGGAGGCTTGAACCTCCCTACACTTTATGAGAGACGAACGCCTGGAGATTTAGTGGAGATATTCAAAATAATGGACACTACAAAAGTGCCAGTTAAGTCTATTTGAGTTCAGCGACAGCCAGCATCTAAGGAGTAATAACAAGAAACTACACAAAGAGAGATGTGCCAGGTTTTTGCGTAGAAATTTTTATCCAATCGACTAGTTCATAATTGGATTTAGTTGGGACACTGTAGATGCATTTCCAGTTAACATGTCGGAGAGTGAAATGGCTGAATAGACAAGATCATTTGTGCACTATAACATTTAATATACCTATGTATAAATAGACATTTTAACAGTACTAAGATAGTAACCGACTCAATACAATAGTCTCATCGGTTTATTTTTACCGCTCACTATTGTTAACTAACAATAATAATAATAAACTGGACTAGTATAAGAAGCAGTTTAAAATGGAACTGATATAAGTAGTAATTAAAACTTTTCTGTGAAAGTGTCTTAGGACATTCGTCGAATGGGGAACTGAGGTCAAGGAAAAAAGAGAGAAGTTACTGAACATTGTAGTAGTAAATAGGATTTTATGTGAAGTATAAATCGTTTGGGAATTAGGGCTAAGGGTCAGGGAAGAAGGAGACATTACTAATAGTATGTAAAAGAAGAGATGTCACTAAAAATTTATGTTGAAAACAAAAGAAAATTTCTAGATGCTAGTTTTGGTATTTGTTGATTAAGGAAGAAAGCCCATATTTTATTGGAAAAAAGAAGAGATGATTATTGTTGCGCCGTTGCTCCGACTTCCGGGAACAATCCAGGGCCTACTATTTTTTCGTGTCATCTTTCAAATTCAAAATCCGATAGACTTGTGAATCTACGCACTATGATTTACCGTGATTTCGAAATCTACAAGACTTGTGAATTTATATTAAAAATCCATAAGCGGCTCATTCAGCTGACGCAAACATTCGTATAAATTTAATGTTAATTGTATATTTAAACTGGGTTAGTAATGTTTGAGAAAAGTTTAGTAATATTTGTAATTATCACTTATTCCAAGAATTGCATTAACAAAATGGAAATCGATGTCACGTATATTCGCTCGACCTTGATGACTATTGCTTTTTCTGTGTGATTAAATTAATATTGTCATTAGAAGAAAACTCCATCATGGAATAACGATAAGGTTTAACTAACGCCTACAGATTACACACACAGAAATATTTTGAATATTCTAATGAGCCTCAAGCTTGAAGCGAAGGCCGAATAGCCTTTTTCTTCTACCGATTGAATTCCTCCGTTATGTTATGTTACGACCGAAAGGTATTTTGTTATGAAACCTATTATGTATTATACGTGTAGTTGCATTTTCAATTATATTTTTATCTCGTACGTTATCTTTAGAAGAAAAAAAGAAATTTATTACAAGGCGGCGTATAAGAGAAAATTCCTTCATGTAGAATTTCTAAATTACGTCATAATCGGGCAGGTGATATTTGGCCAGAGGCGCGAGACTCATTTCTGGGTTAACATTTTTGCCCATGTCGTGATTTAAATTGGGTATTTATGTTTAATTTTTATTTTTATATCAGAATTCAGGAAACAAAATTCTACTTGGATAAGAGAATTTCTTTAGATACTTTTGACAAATAACACTCATGTTACTGACGAAAATGTAAGAAAATTCTTTAATTTTAAATGTAATAGTCAAACCTTTAACATTTTTTGTATATTCTGTATAATACAAAAATATTCCCCCAAAAAGCTGTAAAAACCATTAACTCAAATGACAGATTTTATTTTAATGTCAAGAAGTCGAACCCAGCCAGATTCTAGTTGGTAAAACCCTCTGATATCATGAGTCAGTTTTCCAGGAAAATATAAACGTTAACCACCACAGAAAAGAAGTGCGCATTGCAACCATTTTTCGTCAAGTTTAACAGAATTAAAAAGGTTGATTGTTATTAATAACACAAGCGGATTTTTTTTTAATGGATTTTTAAAACGTTTTTAACCTCCACACGACTTTCTAAATGTTTATGTCGATTATTATTGGAATGCTGATCATCATCATTCCTATTGACATTCTAATGGAAAACGCGATAATAATAAATAAACAATAAAATTTGTTGTACAAAGTTGGCTGGTCAGGTCCAGTCGACCATGGAAAAGTAGAAAGGTCGTACCTGTATAGTACCGTTGTGAACGTATTTTATTTTGATATGCACCTGCAATAATCTACATAATATCGTTGATTGATAACATTTAAAAACAATAATTTTCTGTGGTTAGAAACTACACCACATGCACTAAAAGAGTGGATGCTGTATGAATTATTTTATTCAGCCATGTTTGACAAAAATGGCATCTATCGGAGAAATTGACGCAGGCCTCCTACTATGATTTGAAGTGACAACTGACATTCTTTAACCCTCTTCTTTTTTTTGAATGTGGCCAACGAGTCTTTCCTTTTTTCAACGATTTTATCAAATTCGCCAGTTGATATGCTGAAGAACTTCATCATTCTCCTACATTAAATCAGATGCACCAAACTGTGAAATGAATGCACCTTGCTCACTACGATTTTCACTGACTACGTCTCATTTTACCCTTTAAATGTAGCCGACGAGCTTCAAGGCAAGAGATTTTTGAGTGGAAAAGGAAAAAGAATATCCTCAACCGCAAACATTTTTAATCCAATTTACTGAATCAATTTAATTAGGTATCTCATAAAAACCAATTAAGAGTGAAAGTGCGTACTATACAATAACATGTCGCAGGTGCCACAAAAACCGTTTTTTTTTCCATGTCCAAATAGCGACTATCCGCTTCCGCTTTGGCACGTGACTGGTACGATAAAATTTTCTATGGTCACTGATACGTGAAAAAACTTCAAATGACTAATAAAACAAGTACCTTTCGGCATCCCGCATGGTCCTTTGGTTCTGGAACTATCCAAAAAATCCAAGTCGTACTTTCTGGCCGGTGGAAACACTAGCGCCACATGTCCTTCTACCTTACACACACTGTACAATACAACGAACACTACACTAAACACTAGCGACACGTTTAGTGCCATTTTTGACTATTTTTGCAAAAATTAATTCAAAAATTCATTACGCGGCTTATTTCGCGCGACCAGTATCCACATAAACGCAGTACGGTGGTACGTAATAGTGTTACCTCTCTCGTTGGATTTCTCTTGCTTGCGGAACACCTCGGCGGTACGCTAAGAAGTGGGAGCCGAAGGTGCGCCGAGGAGTACCATCGAAATGGTACCCGCAGGCTTGGTGCCTAGGAATGTTACATACGAGGCTTAATCGAGATTATTGCATATATGATTTTCGTATTGGCAAATAGCACCGTATGGTTCTGTTGGTTGTACCAGTATACCTAACATTTAACTTTGCTTGCGATAAATCCGAAGTTGTAGGTACTCCTTCCGTAGACGAATTTTTGACTGGAAACCCTCTAAATTTAAAGTGGAATCAATTGAACTTGTTTTTTTGTTTCAAGACTATAAGGATTCTGAAGGCTCTGAATTTTCCAAGATTTAAGACCTAAGATTCCAAAGTCGACGAACAATTCAGAGATTCAGGCATTGTGTCTTTGGAAATTCGAAGGGGCAAATAGTTACAACTCAGAACTGCGATTTGCGAATTGTGTATAGCAAAATTTTATCAAAAATAAATTGCAAATTTTTCTCCGTACCTACTCATTCATAATCGTGCTTTTTGAAGTAAAAACTTCTTTAGGCGCGTTCAGCATATTTTTTTTTTGGGGTAATGAATGAGATTAAGGGTGGATTTTCATGCATTCGTTTTTCCGATGAAATATGTCCGAAAAACATTCCATTCTGACATAATCGTATATAAGTATGTCAAAATAGAAGACTTTTCGGACATATTTCGACGGAAAAACGGATGCATGCCTAAGGGAGGATTTTCATGCATCCGTTTTTCAGTCGAAATATGTCCGAAAAGTCTTCTAATTTGACATATTTATATACGATTATGTCAGAATAGAATGTTAAACGGACATATTTCGTCGGAAAAACGGATGCATGAAAATCCTCCCTAAGCCGTCACTCCCAAATACGTAACGCTCTTTCGGGTACAGTCGGCTCAAGTCAACTTCAGTTGAGTAAGAGTTAGAGAGAGACAGTCAGCAGTGCAAGAGAGAGATAGCGCGATCGGGATTCAATCGAGATTTCTCGTAGAACAAATCCCGGCGACGTTGCCGATATTATTGACGAGAATTTGACACACAAATAGTGACAGATTGAAAACAAAGAAGAAAGAAGAGAATAATTTTGTATATAAACTTAATTTTCAGTGACTGGAGGACAGAATGAGAAATACAAGAGTTGAGTTCGGAATGGGATTTTGATGCAGTGCTAGTGCGGTGTTCGTGTAGTGCAGTGTTGTATCACGTGATGAAGGTGTAATTGGCGGTGTAACACCAAATAAACCATCACTTTGTAACGAGTAAACGGTGTCAAACACCGTGTTGTTAATTCACATTCTGGTATGTTCTGTAACATTCTGGATTTAAATGCCAGTAACTTGCATCGTAGTTGGGTGTGGAAGTCGAGGTAACAGGGATAATGTAAGATTTTATCGAGTTCCTGCTATTTTAAATCATCGGCTTTTGACCCACAAAAATGAATTATCAAAACAACGTAGGGCTTTATGGATTGCTGCAATTGAAAGAAAGCATCTAATAGACAGGAGTCTCAAAAACCCAACATTTTGCAGCAAACATTTTAAAACAGGTGGGTACCTACCTTATTATACAACACAAATGCTTACATGAACGTCACCGGCTTGTCACAGTCACCGCAATATTTGACTCATCGATTTGAGCTGAACGGCCATATTGAATCACATCTGGATTGCCTAATAAGGCCCAGGATTCCCAGGATATTACACACTAACGCTACACAGGATAGCCTACCCACATAAAACCTGTGTAGATCAAATTTCAAGCCCCTCATCACGCCAAAGTACCAGTTATGATATGGACAGCGTGACGCTTCTCGCCCTGAAGTAGAGTGTTTGCACCACAGGCTACGAATGCTACGCTACGATTCCGTTGGTTTTTCCTTTATACATACTTGATTTTAGTACATTATTATTCTGAAACAACCCTTTTTTAAATCTCGTATCTTCGTCTTTGCCTATTATGTTAATCAAAATTAAAACTACGACCGGTGGCGCAAATAGCTAACGACACCGTTGATGACGTTGGCAGTGGTGCAACACCATAATAATTATGACCTTGATTCCAAAAATGGCGACCGATCAGTAATCCTGTAATATCCTTGGAATAAGGCAATCTAACGAGGACGAACTCTCAAAAAAACATTCAACATGGCGGCAATGGTCAAACATCTCTGATGTTTGTTCGTTTAACCTACGTTTTATCGACTTTTTGAGCTGAAGTGAAAACCTCTTGTAGTGCTTAGCACTTTTTCGTTGGTTCTAAATAAAACAGTCATAAAACTGTCAGATCACGATCACTCTTATCTTTCAAAACGCAGGCTAGGACTGTGACGTCAGAATCCAAAAAATGCGAGGATGCCGAATTTTCATTAGTAGATATTCCAAAATATGACTGCGTCTATTTAAAGTATTGTACTACGGAGCGGAAACTTAACAGATCTTTTAATTCAATTTTATCTCGTGTCCGACGTGACTCGATATATCTATCTTTGTCTAGTTCATGTGAATTCGTCGAGCGAAACTCGTAACATTTGTTGTGCTTGATTCAGTTGTTGGGAAAGCGTTCAAATTACGTCGAGCTAAGTTCTATCCTTGTCTTTCATTACCAATTAGACAAAAGTAGAGATATCCGTTGAATGTACTAAACATAAACTTTATTTCTTCACAGCTTACTCCGTGGAACCTATCTGCGTCCTTTACTACGCTATAAAAAAAAAGGATAAGTATTATCGGTAAATTCCTGTTTCCTAGTAGGTACCTAAATATTTGTCTCCATGTTGGCAAATCTTTCTCGACACGTGAAAGTGGCCTATTATGTTGAAAACGTCAAATAAGTCGAGTGATTTTTATATTTACGAATCAGCCTATTCCATCTATTTATCTCTTTCTCTGTCTTTATAAACACAAAGAAAAAGATGAACTGACAGAGCTGTCTGCTCGATTGTCAAGCTATAATGTCAACTGTCAATAATGTCAACCGATAAAAGCCCTCTTCCTCGTTGACGCCATTTTATAGGCAAGTTCGGTTATCCTCGGCGAGTTAGGGTCGGTTTGTGAGAGGTTTGTGATAGATGTTGACAGAGGATCACGTGATCTTTCATTAAACGTTATAAAATTGATCACGTGGGTTCGGACCTATCATCTTATTGCTCGCAGAAAATTAACCGAATTCACAAACACAAACTAACATCTGAGCCGCTTTCTTTTCAGGAGCGTAGGCGCCCCAGTGCGTCCTGGATCACGATTTTTTAGCCGGGGCGTCAAGCCCCGGGGTTTCGCCACCGCTAGCGCCTCAGCAAGGCGTCGAAACTCCACAGCACCAATGTCCGAACTGTCACTAGTGCCAGATAATAATAGGTATGTGTCTGCAGAAATCACAAACCAGCCATAGCGAATTTCATTGGTTGCAAACAGTCAGAAATAGTCATAAAACTAGTTTCAACCAATGAAATTTACTCTGACTGGTTTGTGATTTCTGCAGGAACAGACCTTACATGTTCTATATTTCTTAGGAATCTTAGGTAGGTACCTATTGTCCGTCGTTTTTAATCTGACACTTTCCGTATGAGGAGCGAGGGGGTGAAGCTTATGGCAAAAACAGGTGTGACGTCAGGTGACCATTGGCGTTCTAATGTAAGGAGCCACCAGCTCACATTGCTTTGGAGTATCAGATTAAAATGGACGGACTTTACTTACTTCCGTTATCACCATAATGAGAATTTAAGCATTTTCTAAAGAATTATTTTCCATTTGATTTGAATAGTTTCAATTTCACACAGGACGTGGACCATGACAAAGCATACTATGTAATTTAAGGTTAGATTTTTGAGCATAGATTTTGATCCTAAATTACCGTTCTTTTTAGAGCGTGCGTTGACGAGTCCCAGGGCGTCAAAGCCTGGGGTTTCAAAGCTCTGAAAAGAAAGCACCTCTTCTATCTAAAGTCTAATGGTCGTATCCACCCAAGGAGGTTTCCACCAACTATTTCAGGAAAGCCTTGATGATAAGTAGGTATTCCCTAAAATGACAGTCTTTCATGGAGAAATGTCAGTTTTATCGTTTCCTTAAATAATCGTTGGTGGACACCAAGGAGAATTCATACTCTAAAGGAGTGCTTATCGGCCTCGTTTTTGGTAATCGCCGTCATATTGGTATGCCGCCACAATTACCGCCGTTATAACTCAGTCGTCAGCTGTTTAAACAGCCTTCGTCAAGGCGAGAAATAACATGCTGCCTACATCACAACTGGTATTTTGGCATGGGGGGGATTTGTTACACACAAGCCTTATGAGGATAGGCCATCCTGTGAGTAGTGTGTATCATTCTTGGGTGGAAACGGCCAAGCATCATAAGCATTTACCCATTGAGGTAAAATAACCATAGTCTGTTTTTTTTTTCAAGATAATTCTTTAAGTCAAACATTTAGTAACTATGTTGGCAACACAAGCCTTTTCTACATAAAAAATTTGAAAGCATTGACAATTTTATAGAATTTTTAATACCTATTTAGAAGTACCTGATGTCATTTTAGTGACAAAACGTATGTCGCTTCTTGACACACAAATAAAATCAGGTTAGGAATTTCCTATTTGTAGATGAAATTGACGTATTAGCAATCGACGTTCGTTTTTGTTGGTAATTTTTTGTTTCATCTGATTCGTGATTGATAAATAAGGATGAGGTTATTCTAAATGGGTATTACAAATACTATACATTGTATTGCCAACATAATGTCATTTTGACTTTTATCTTAAAAAAAAAACAGACTTTACTCTTCATCTTTTAATTTGAGTCTAATCCCTAACATCAATTGTCAAATGCCAAATTGATCATCTACAAGCGCGAAATTCAAATTCAAAAAAACTATAATTATTATTTACGATGATTCTGTGATTTCTTACAAGGTTGAATCTGGAATTTCAGCTTCTTCTGGAGAATCGTTCCAAGGTGTCCCTCTAGAAGAAAATTTGCTATTTATGTTTCGTGTTGCTGAGAATGTTACCTCTATTCTAGAGAAACTATATGTACATATATCAAAGATAGCTGATAAAGCGGGAATAGATTCTGGTCTATACTGCTAAAGAATTCATTGCAGTTGGAATATGTGAGCTTTACCACCAGAAATTGAGGGAATCTAATCTTGCTTCTGGCCAAGTGCTGTGATTTGTAGGCCTTACCTTTTCACTTTCGAAAATCTAAATTGCAAAGTCAACATGGAAATTTTCCAGTCTCCATCCAGACAGAGGTACAGTACTGCGGTGAGATAATATTATA